AAACATCAGCGCCTAGTCCATTCTGAAAGTCCATTTTCCAGTATCATTCCCTATAAAATTTGAAACTGGAAGCAAGAATTTCACAACTTGATTAGGAGCAGACCTCAATTTCTTTACACGTTTTGGAATTGCAAAAGTCCACATTGCAGGGAGCTTTCGGAACCTTTTCTTTTTTAGGCTACCGAGCTTGTGCGTCGTCTTCACTCCTTCATGTCCAAGAGGGAATTGGAGGAAAAATGGGCTTTTGTGACGATTGCTACAGGCACTGAAGAGGTACCACCTTCATCTTTCGAAGATATTGCAGCGAATCATAAGATATTCTCAGTTCTGCAATCACTGCGACACTCCTAATCACTCTTCCATTCGACGTGCACTGGGCATTCTTCGCAAAGGCATTCCTAAAGCTTTCGTCGTTCTTCTCGGGCCAGTACACGTCGCTTCATCCTACGAGCTGCATATAAATCTTCTCAGGTCCTCTTACTAATTGACTAGCGACACTATGAATTAGTTTTTTTTATTTGTATGGCCCAACTTTACATGCCATGTGACTGAATCTACTTTTTGACTCATGCATTTTACAAATAGTTTACTAGGTGCAGACGTCGTATTTTTCCATTCAGTTTCTCACGCTGTTAATTCTGAAGAGTTATGACCTTGAAAGCGAAAAACTTGCTCGGTATCTTAGACACCGCAAAAACAAACAGCAACAAAACGAAAGCCTGAGAGAACACTACTGAGTAATGGAATGAATGACAGTGACAGCTATGCTTGAACAATATGGCTTCCTATAGAACGCTCAAAGGCTGCCAAAGAGCGTCAAAGGAGGAAGCTCGCTGGCCCGCAAAAATGCAGTGGTTTTTGGTCTAGTAAAGAAAATTTTGACTTGACCACCTCTGAATTTTGATGGTATTTGAGTGTAGAGGGAGGCGTGAAAACAATCCTACATTTGTGGTTTGATTGCTCGATAGTTTCGTGTCATACATAAATCGAAAAGATTGCGCCTAGACTGAAGGGAAGGCAAATCAAAGACTTGTTCCTTATAGCGGCTTAGGGATTTTGGAATAGAGAAACCCGCCACGACGAATGAGCGCTTTCCTAGTAAAGTTGATTTGAACCTTTCAAGAGAAGCAATGTCCTCTTTTGGCCGGGCAATGTATGACTGTTCCATTGTCGATCAAGGGACGCATATAAGTTGTTCACACTCGAATAAGGATTTTGTTATCTCTGGTTGTGAGGGCATCGAATATGTGATAAGTACGATTAACAGCGCTGTTATAAATGCAATAGATCCCTGTACAGAATCCGAGCCCTCAGGTGTACCAATCACCGTATATCGTTATTTGTATATATTAGGGTGGTAAAAAGTCCTGAGCCGTTTGACACTTTT